AGAGGACGTCAATTATTTTAGAGGGCAAACAAGCTTACCATATCTTGCAATTCAAGACAACTTTACTTCTGAGGAGCTTGCGTGGTATCTGTTAAATCCTCCCAGTTTTGCAATTTGTAAAGACAGACCAGCAGTTTGCCAAAAGAACGCTATGTTTCTTAATGATCGAGAAATACCTGCAGGTGAAGACCTCAAGTCTGACGACTTCTCTTGGAGAAATAACGGCACAAAAATGTCAAACATCACCTTGAGGAATAAAAGATATGTTCTTCAACGTACCTACTTTGTGCATGCTAAGTATAAAGACTTTAAGCGTAGGATCTACAGTCTTTGTAAATCAGATGGTACGCCATACTAGTACATCCTCTTGTGTTATCGATTTGAGGAATCAGAGCACAAAGTGTCCCCATGCAAGAAAGCCCGCATGCAGCCATCTACACTGAACGCGATCAAGAAGAAGTTGAAGTCAGGTAAGAGCTCACGAGATGTCTACGTGGAAACTCGAGAGGAGGCCGGTGGCCTTTCAGCTTGTAAAGTTTCGGCTAGGCCACGTTCGGTCAGTCAGGTTCAAAAAATTAAGGAACAGTCAATTCACCACTAAAGCAGTACCTACACTGCAAGACCCGGTCAAAAAGACAAACTTTATTCTGTGATTCTGAAATGTATCGACGACAGCAAACATCCGAATAGATTTCTCCGATTTGTCCAAGGAGCGCCTCAGCCACTTGCGTTTCTTTCCGATGACCGTCAGCTACTAGACTCGGAACGATTTTGTACGAATCCATCCAAGCCTATTGAGCGTTGACACTACTTACAACTGTGGGGAGTTCTACGTAACACCAACCACATACTGGCATCACCTGCTCTTGTCGAAGAGAACAGGCAAGCACCCAGTGTTACTTGGGCCTACACTTATTCACAAGCATCGAGATCAGGAAACCTTCAGTTATCTCGCAAGCTCCATGACAAGACTTAAGCCATCACTAGCGCAAATTTTAGGTGTCGGTTGTGACAGAGACAAAGTAATTAAGAACAGACTGACACCCCATTTTCCTTGGCTTGTAAAAAGCACTTTGAGGATGATATTCAGCGGAAGCTTACAGATCTGGTAATGAGAGGAAGGAAATTGTTGCTGATATCTTTGGCTCTGAAGTGACGCGAGAGAGGGGTTTGATTGACCCAGCCACCGAGGCTGACTTTGAAAAAGACCTGGCAGAATTGGAGCAAGCATGGAATGAGTGTGAAAAGGCCGCCAGACAAACCAGTAGACCAGAATTCCATTCATGGTTTGTGCGTTACCAAGCCAAAGACATGAAAGAGATGCTTCTCTATCCAGTTAGGCAAGATATCGGTTTAGGATACGATTTCTACTACAATAATGACCCCGAAACAGTGCATCGCAATATTAAGGCAAGGCAAAACTACAAGGCCACCGAAATGCCAACAGTTGTAGAAAAAACTGGAAAGGAAAAGAACGCCCATCTCTGTTATGTCGAAGATTTCTTTTTTTTTTAATATTTTTTTAACTAAAGCATTTCTTACGTTTACATACAAAATAGAAATTAGGAAAGAGAAAAACACACACACACGCACACACACATATATATAGTACAAACAAAAGAATACAAAGCTAAACAAAGCTATTAGAGCAATACAGTTACTTCAGGGTCGTAACATGGTATATGGGCTCAGGGCTCAAAGCCCAAAATATGACTGGGATCAGGGCTCAGAGAAAAGGGCTCAGGGCTCAGGGCTCA